ACACCACTCTTTCTACGCTACAGCACATCTATCTGTCTCGCATATATCAGGTTGGCGGCTGACAGACAGATGTGCTGCAGCGTAGAAAGAGTAGTGTGCAAAATAGGCGTTAGCAGTATAAGGGGTTAGATCACGCGCTCCCGGATCGGGTGAGATGTGGGTTCAAGTCCCGCTTGACGGGAAAGTTTTGCAAATCACTTTACATTACTGGGCATATCTACGAAATTTTACCATTGCTAAAGCGGTTAAATGAAAAGTAACTTTATCTAGTACCTTGTTTACACAAGATAAGCGTTATTAGAGAGGCATGTGGCGCAGTGGTTAGAGGTGTTCTGCGGCACGCATGATTGATCAGTCAATGGCACGATATCGCGCTCAAGGCTCACCAAGCCTTCCATCCCTCCGGTGAATAAAACTTGTCTGGGAGAATAGCAGTAGTGATCTGATACATCGGTAGGTCATCGCGAGACAATGCAAAGGCCACATATGCATTCAGTCACCCTCAAACAAGCTGAAAATTGAAGTCGAATGTATAGCGATTCCCTTAAGGATTGATCGACGCCGAGAGATTTAGAGCTTCATACGAGATCACTACAGGAAGGAAGCTCGTTATATTCGAAAGCATGTTTTGAACTGATTCATCAGATTGTAAGGTGAAAAACCGCGTAGTACGGTAATCAAATCAGATGAGGTCCGCGAGGATATGAAGAACAATTTTCACTCGAAGCCGCGCAAAAATGGAAAATAGCGTTCTTTTCGTGGAAAACGGATCTCAGCTTCGCGTAGTTCTTCATCAGATATGAACGGGGGCTCATAGCGTGGTCAAATCTGAGCCTCGGATAACCCTAACGCAGAACAGATATATCAACTCATTGTACAGTAGTAAGATGCGTAGTGTATACTATAATTTGAAAAAATGAACTTCACAGTGTAGCTTTGCGAGAACTGGCAATGGGTTATAGAGCAAGCAGATAACAGTTGAGTCGGAGCCACCGTTGCAAAACTTTTTTCAAAGAGGTTTTGCACAAACCACTCAAGTAGAGCTTCGAAAATATTCTGCGTTTTTACGTAACAAAATCAGTTCTTTGTAGTTCTCATAAATGCTTCAGAAGACGTCGTGAAAAATTTGCTCACAACCGGATATTCTCAAGCACCGAAATCATTTTCTGTTTTTATATTGGCTAACGCCAAAAAAAAAACTCAAACGGCTTGTTAACAAAAAACTTCTCAAGTGTGCTTTTTGGAATTTCTGTTGACAATTACTCATCAGTTTTCACTTGTATTAGTTTTTGTGGAATAAATGAGTTAAGAAAGATGTTAAGGAAAGGTAATAAGAAGACTTTGAAACAACTAAAAGTAGCGATAGACCAGGAAGGAAGTAATGATGGACCTGGTTGGATAGCGAGCAGATTTCCGATATCGACAGTGTAGGTGCTTCTGCAGTGACTTCTTCCGCCTGCAAGCTCATCTGTTTTATAAATTTCATGCATCTGATTCGACATGAAGGTCAGATATTGTAAGCGAAAATGTGAGATAGAAACAAACGTATAAGGTTACAACACAAATTAAGCACATGCGGTAAACAGTAATAGGCAGACATTTCTACTATTTCTAGGCTCACTTCATGCGTTCCTTGAGTCTTCTGAAGCGTTGACTTCGCCCACTGCACATCAAATTCATCGTCAGCAGCCTCTCCAAACGCTTGGATTTGTTGCAATACCTGAAATAATGACGAAATTTCATAATATGAAAGAAAAAAGGTAATCAAAGTAATTTTCGTCAAGACTGACGATTGAAACGGACCTCTTTACCAAACTGCTCTTGTTGTTCACGTTCGTGCTCGACTTCCTCGTAACTAGGAGTTGGTGCCACCGGAGCAGCAACAATCTGAAATCTTATCAGGTAGGTGTCAAATAGAGCATCGCAAGAAATAGCTGGGTCCTTCGAGTCTCTATTCATTGCGCATCCACTTTCACACAAATTCCACTACACACCGTTACGAGGGCGGAAGGAATTTTATTTCAAATGGCAGAATATTACAACCTATTTCTTTTTGCTTTTAAGTTTTTTAAGACATAACGTAGATTTATTCAAATGATGATCATGATCCATCAAAATTAAGACCACAATGACCCAATGAATTCTCAAATAACTAGAAAAGCTGAAAGATATTCAATTATTTCAACTTCCACTAGATCAGTCGGTAATACGTGGCAGATTCGTTTTTTTTCAACATCAGACATGACACTAAAGTTGCAAAGTGATCACTTGATGACGTGTAGTGGAGCAGGCTCAGGAACAACTACTTAAGTCGTTATGAAATAAGTTGAACACCGCGAGTAAATTCAAGAGCCAGAAAAATCTACAGCCAAAGCAGACTCGAATGAACGAACGAAAAACAAAGAAAGCTTGTCATTAGTAATTCTTTCGCGCTTTATCTGAGCAACGATAAGAACGTCTTCTTTTCGATGTTGATTAAACCTATGACACGAGGTTGTCAATGAACGCTTTTACTTGGCTAACGTTTCGACGAGTTTTATTTTTTTTTTCAAAGCCGATAATTCAATTCGATCGTCCACTGTCGTTCATGCTCGTTGTGAATCTTCACCATCGTTGCGTTCCAGTTAATTAGTTTTCCATAGCTAATTATCATACGCTTCATCATGTATGTAAGGACATCGTCGAGTGAGGTTCTTTCTAGAGCGGTGCTCACCGAAGAAGGTTCGACTCTAATTAGGTGAAGACGAAGATCTATAACGAGGACGAACGATAGTGGACGATCGACTCAAATCATCGGCTTGAAGAAGATAACACACATCGAAACGTTAGCCGAATAAAATGTCTATTGATAGCTTGTGCAGCAGCTTGATTAACAAAAAAAAAAGATCGGTTCTCCTGCGATCAAAACAAGGTCGGTTTACAACCACTTTCTCTGTTGATGCTTCACATTATCACGATGGATGGCACTTTGTAATAGGTGGATAAAGACGAAGCACCGAAATACTACTCTGAAATTAGCGTTAGAATTGCTATGTTTGATGAGGGAAGATAGAACCATCCATTACACCACCAACGCCGGCGCAACAACAACGGTAAAGAACCATCGTCAAGACGTCCATAATGGAAACCATAGTCTGCAATAGCATGACCAGCTAGGTGCAATGGAAATCGGTGAAAAAATCTCAATTTTTTTGTGCTGCGCAATAATGCAACATCGCAATAAAACATATCCAACATTACAACAGTTAAACCTAATAATCAATGTGGAGTTGTTTCTCCCAAACCGTGTTTTCAAAGCTGATGTATACTAAAGATGAAATCAATACGTAATCTCAATCTCTTGTAGTGGATTCCTGAGATCCTGTTCCAATGTTCGGGCCACGAATTCTGATAAGAGTTTGGCTTGAAGAGCTTGAGAGTGATTTTTGAAGAGCCATATATACCGTATTTACACAATGTATAATATAATATCGTATTTTATGAGTGAGCCACACCTTTTGCTCACTAGCGAGCAAGTTTTCAAACATCCTGGCGAGAATTTGCGGTGAAAATATTTTAGCCAACAAACCATGGCGCGCCCTCAAAGATTTGTGACCTCGTAAAAGCTATAAATTTGAGATGATGGAAATTCAATGTAGTGATTTTGAAGAAATTAGCTTCAGTTCTTGCATATTATCCGAAGACCAATTAAGAAACAATCCCTTTTGCTAGACAATTTTTCATAAGAGTATTAGTAATCAAAAGCTTGAATCTCTGGTTAGTGCGCTACGCAGCCCTTTTCTGAAAAAGCTTTTTTATAACACTTTAGCAGAAACAAACATGTGATTTTACACAAGCATATTTCTTGCAGGACAGAAATCTTTAATCAAATTGTAAGTAACTATTCGCTAGCGTAGTTCTCACGATTCCAACGTTTTGCATGTCTTCCGGAAGAACCGTTCCACTGCAGAGTAGCAGGGAAGATAAGATCGAGTTTCAAACACGCGCATCTCTTTGTCAACTAGTGTGGGGTGTCTGCTGACCATGCATTCGATACGGTGTTCCGCGATCGATCGATTGCGTTAGCGCGACTCACATGTGGAATGTAATTTTTGCCATTGAACTTGATTTTTTCGCTTTGGAAGAAACTCTGAATGAAGTGAATGTATCTAATACTACAAGATTTCTTCTACACGTAAATATGCTTTCCTTTCAGCGATGTAACAGTAAAAGCGCGCGGCCGGTGTGAAACATAATATTATTTTGAATGTTACGCCGTTTAAAGAGAGTCTTTTCGAAACAAAATTCCACGTGGTGCAGCAATTAAAGATTCAAGCTTTCGAATGATCACTAACACTCGTATGAAAAGATTCCCCTTGCAGCGAAAAAGATCGTTTCTTCATTTGTCAACGGATACTATACATGCCATTTGTTCCCCAATGGTTAAAATTTAACAGCTTATATTACCATTGATAATGGTTAGTATGAGGTGTAATCAGCCCGTTCAGTCGCCCTCGACCGATTACTGAACTAACGGTTGCGCCACAGTCGTCAAATTCGTTTTCGCCTTAGGAGGCTTATTTTTGCAAGGCACCAAACTCTCTTCCAATATACAACAAGCAAAGCCTTCTCAAAGTGAAGACCTGAACGTTCTACAACGGTTCCCTCTTGCTTCCAAGAAAATCTACATTTAATAAACCCTCAAAGCATTGGCGAAACTGAATCGATCCTGACCGTTTCTACAGATGACGATGGCAAGACAACGATTCGACTGAAGAAAAAAGATCACGCATTTAACAATAAAGAAAAAAAAAAGAAAAGTGGAAAATTAAAAACGATTCAAAAGTCAAGGATGATATTGTTTGAGCCACTTAAGTGAAATATAGATGAGTAATACAAATAATAATATCAAATGTATAATATAGATATGTAAAGTTGCTAACACGTCAGATATTACTCTTATTAGGAACTGTAGTTCCAAATACGTGGAAACATTCTTGATCTGCGGTATCAAGCTAAAGGCGCCGGTAGTGCAACGGTTTAGCACGCGCTCCCAGAAAGAATGAGATGTGGATTCAAATCCCAGCTGACGCAAACGTTTTTGCACACCACTCTACATTATTGGGTATATTGTAATATCATACCACCGCAAGTGGCAACCAAATAAAAATGATTTCTGATTGATTACAAGAAAATCCTTCACTCGATGCCTCATATATAAAAGAAAGCACCTTGTCAGGGTAGTCATCATCGTCCTCACTACCGCTTTCTTCATCCTCGTTGTCCATTTTCTCGTCGTCAGTTGTGATGGTAATTGCGGGAGTAGGTCTAGCCACTGGCGGGACCACTGAAGCGTCGATTCCCACTGCGCTCTGGAATTATGGTGCTGAAGAAGTGAACTCTCAAAATAACAATTAAAAGTCAAACAAAATTGCGTCACTAACTAGTCGAAGACAATAAACAAAATCTCAGAATGTGCAGCTTCTGCTGAAGATTTTTTTTTTTTGTTAACGTTCTATAGAATTCGGCGATAAGGTTCTCTATATGCATAAATCTGACTTAGCTACACAGACTCGTGTCATATTCCTTTCCGAATGATTTCGCTACACAACGATAAGTTTGAAAGCAGCCGTATTTATAGTATTGGCTACAAATTTTCTGCTCACCCAAGGCTTCGCAGCGCTTTTTGAACGAGCCGTAATGTTCAATGACGGAGGTTTCGGTCCTGTGTCAAACTCAATCTCCTTGAAAGCGTAGTGAGAAGTGTCATCCTCAAACAAACTCCCATCTTCTGAAATATAATTGTTTGACTCAGATAACTCTAAATCATAAAGGAACAAAATCTTAGGATTAATGCTCGAAAATCGATAAACTGACCATTTGTACATATACATGGTCATTTATATTTTCGTTATCTCAAGACTATGAGTTTCTGAATTCAACCGTAATCTTTTCTTGTATGAAAATTGACAATATGGTTTATTCGTCTCACGGTATACTTCGACGTCCAACATACTTCGGCGCACAATTGGTTACGGTGCTTGACGTTTTGGAGCTCAATGTTTGCTCCGATCGCGATGAACCATGTATGGAAAGGTTTCTCAGATTACCTGTAATCACCTATCTTCCCGTTGATCGTCGAGCGACTCGAGCGGGTACCAGCAACAATTCCATTTTTATCGCGTGCAAGAGTGGCCCAGTGATTTCTCCTCCCTCTAGAGATCCGCGAGCATCATATCTTTCTTCAGTGCTTTACGTGAGGAAATCGGACTATCGGGTGGGTGGTCTTCCTGTAGAGCGCTTAATATTTCGAGGAATCCAGTCGGTAACAGCTCTCGTCCATCGATTGTTGCTCAAGCGCATCACGTGTCCAGCCCACCTTATTGTTGATATCTTGGCGTGTAGAACGGCTTCTTTGATCTGCGATCGCTGACGTAGTTCGGAACTTTGGATCCTTTCTCTCAATTGCGAGACACAGGATACGCCTAGCATCGACCTTTCGACTGCACGTTACAACGCCAAGTGATCTTTCATCCTGATTACGTAGCGACCAGGTTTCTGCTGCATACTTTAGGGCAGGGATAATCGTCAATACGAAAAGGTAGGCACGGAGTCGGATGTTTTTTGTCCTCTTCACTACATTCTCGATGTTCTTAAGCGTTGCCCAAGCCGCTCGTTTCCTCCTGCTCAACTCTGGAGCTAGGTCGTTCATTATGTTGATTTCACGGCCCAGATAGTCGTAACTGGAGCATTCAAAGCCCATCCGTTCCTGATGAACATCCTTTTCGTTAGATTTAATTGAAGACCAATTTTTCCACAGGCGTTGTCGAAATCGGTCAACATTCTTTAAGCTTGGCTGATGCTTGGTGTTATGAAGACGATATCATCAGCAAAGCGAAGATGGTGTAATTGTCGACCGACAATTTTCACTCCCATATCGTCCCATTCGAGTGCTCGCATGACATTTTAGAGGATGGCAATGACCAATTTTGGCGAAATTGTATCGCATTGTCGAACCCCTCTTCTTATGGCGATGGTAATATTTTTGTAGAATGGCGATATTCTGGTCGTAAAATCTTATATAGCTCACAAAGGATCATTATATATTGAGTGGAAACGCCCTGGTTGTCCAGAGCGTCTATAACCGTTTCCGTTTCTACTAAATCAAAGGCTTTCTTTAATGAAATTGATATAGAGCGGTATTTTGTACCTTCATGAAACCTTAATGAGTCTTATGATCCCTCACTATTCCTCAGATACCCCCATGAATTTACAACAGCCGATATTGTGTAAAACAACGAAAAATTTGAATTTTTTCATGAATGTTAAGGAAATTTTTCCTCAACTGAGTACTTGCTGATTTTCACCTGGTGATTGATTTGATCCTTATTGGATATCATAATGATGTATGTGAATTAAAAGCAAAAGATCCTTTTCATAAATTTTAGCTAAAACATTTTGAAAATATTACGCGTCATGCGCATAGTGCAATGCCAAGCGTGTTGTCCGGCTACCACTGAGGAGCTTACACACGCGATATGAACGAATGAACTCTGCTATTCATTGAAATAATGATAACATGGATTAGAGGTAACCAGTGGTTAGAGGTGCTCTGCGTTGCACATGAGGTCAATGGTTCGATCTCACTCTCATGGCTCACCAAGCCACCCATCGCTCAGCGGTCGGTAAATTGGTGCCAGACTGGTCTCAGACTTGTCTGGGAGGACACACAGCACTGACTCGGTTCAGCGGGAAGCCACCGCGAGTCATTATAAAAGCCATATTGCATTCAATCACCTCAAAAGAAGTCAGAAATTAAAGACGAATGCATGGCGCATACCTCGAGGTTTGATCAGCACCAAGTGCTTTATTCTTTATTCTTCATGCAGAGAATTAAATTTTATAGAAAAAGTGGCGGCAAAACAGGCGTCGGTAGTGCAACGGGTTAAAGCACGCGCATCCAGATAGGGTGAAGTGCGGATTCGAGTCCCGTCTGACGCAAAACTTTTGCACATCACTCCACATGAATGGGTATGCTTATGACATCATAGCACCGCTAGAAGCCGTTAAATAAAAATAACCCTGTTTGAAATTTTTACCTATTCAAGTTCTCTAAGCAGAATTATTTTATTTCTTCACCTCCCTCACACTATTTACTACTCATCTTGTACAATTTGTGGGATGTTCACAAAACTGTAGTTGCTAGCTAAACTAGAAATCGTTCATGTTTCCTTCCAAAACATAATAGCCAAGTAGTGAACTCAGAAAACAAACCGCTAGAGGACTGCTGTTGAAGAACGTCGTATGTGGGCTGCTCCGATTCGTCGCCTTCGAATACCGTTGTCCACATTGGTGTCCTTCCTCCTGCCCAATCTGTGCTCTGCAAAGAAACAAATGCATCCAGAACTTCGAAACAAATCACTTCAGTTGAAATTAGAGCAGCCGAGAAAAAACAATGTAGGAATCAAATTGCAATTAATCTAAATATATGACTACTTCAAGCAATGCAAGGCCCGAAGAGTGTCCGAAGGCTGAATACAAAGATTCAAAACAGAATTATTCACAAATTTGTTTAAGTAGTCTGTACATCAAGAAGTGTTTACAGCTAACCTCTCGATTGTACAAAGCGTCATCCATTTCCACTGCATCTACCATACCTGAATCATCGTGCACGCTGACTTTGTACCTAAAGATTTTTATTATACACTCTACATGATTTAGAGCGACGGAAGGCCTGTTTTTTATTGAGCAGAAAGAGGAGAAGAAAAACTCAGTTTAGAAAGATGGAAAAAATAAGTGCCAAATCGCCCAGCGCTGGTAGACTCATCAACAGATAACGTGATATTTCGACACTATAATGTCCACAGGTAGGATATAATAGCCCTCTAAATCTATTTCAAGACCTTTCTAATCTTATGAGCCGAGCAATAGAATGACGACCTTGAGAAATGGATTTGCCCTGTCCTTACTGATTACTGCCCTGTCCTTACTGATTATTGACTAATGTCAATACTTAATAAATACTAATTACAATGAGACGCTGTGATTTGTCAGTGCGTTAGGTGCTAAAGATATGTTAACACATTATGAGGATTCAAATTCAGAATATTTCTCAGTACTGAAAAATTCATGTCCGCTCATGAGATATTGCATCGAGAAAAAAAACAATCCAGAGTTAAATAGTAGATAACTGATAACCAGCAAGACACGTACGTTGCTTTCAATTGAGGGATTCTTGCCGATAAAATATCAAAAGAAGTTTTAAAACGAGTGCTGATTCCGAGGCATTTATGCATGCTGTCAAAACTTCAACACTTTGTCGTCCCATCGTGGATTCAGGTGCTTCTAGCTGTTCAACTGCGATCTACAGAAGAGATCATTTTACAGCAGTATATCCAAGGTTGTCAAAGCAGTAGCATAAAGCAGTCAGGTGAACCATGTTATACATTCCTCTAACTCCAGAAACTTTCTCAGCCAAGAAAGTAGCAGTATTAACTGGCAGAATGCCACGGGGGCAATTCGTATGGCATCGAGTGACACTGGAACCATCACGGCATTACTCTTTGAAACTGAAGAAGTAGCTATTTATTGTGATGAGATGATAGTCAAGTATCCGTGACCTCACAAATTCGTTTCCCGTACAGTCCAGTTGTTGTTGCGCCTGATGAAAGCTGCACACTTCCATCCTTCGTAACTTGGGATACTATCTTGAGATGCCTTGCAGCATCGTCGACCACGGTTCGCTTATGAAGCAAATTGAACAGCAATTTTTTTCTACTCGAAGTGTTGGATTACTTTTTCTCTTACCTCAGTAAATCTGAATATTCTCAATAACAAAAAACCGAAACCAAGTTCTTAATGGCGACGAATTCTCAAAAAAAATGTGCCATGCGTTCGAATTCATTGAAGAGAGATGACTGAAAGCATGTTTGTTTTTGAAAATGATTCGAAGAGGCATATTTGTTCTTGACAATGTCTCGAAGTGTGATGTGTATCAACTCATTGATGCTATCTATCCCAACATGATAAGTGCCAACACAATGACACAATAAAAGAGGGCTTGATGGGCCTGAAACTTAAGATCGAATCACAGACAACGTGCGTGTTGTGTGCCATCTCTGATTTTCCTGCGCCACACTCGCCTCGGGGTTCATAACATAACATGAAAGCGGAAAATGCTGGCGCGTGACTCAAATATGAGCAATTCAGTCAATAGAAGATACACCTTGATTTTGGATTTTTGCGTGCTATTTAGTGTCCCCTTCTGATTTATCTCACTTTCTGCCCGTCTTAGTAATGCAGTCATCTAATTAATAATTTTCAAAGTCAAGAGAAAGCTTTCCATGAGAGTAAAGCGTTTTGAATATATGTAGAGCTACAAATTTGGAAAGTGTCAGGCTTCACTGGCATCATCTCAAGTATGGAAAACCTGCGTTCATTCGATAAATTCTAATGATGAACTTGAAAATAACCACTTGTCGTCATCGAAATTCGCGTTGGTGATCTCGGCAAATCGCACGTCCGAGTAGGTAAAATCGAAGTCGTCTCTGCGGTCGTCCGCTCGCGAGTCGTTTCTGGAGCGCGCTCCTTCCCGTATTTCACTTGTATCGTCCAACACATCATACATCTGATCTGCCTGCTTAAAAAATGAATAGTCATGAACAAATACAAAAATAAATGTAGAATTTCTATTCGTCCACTCATTGCACAGAATAATGCGCCCAGTCCCAGTATATTTATTTTCTAATCGACTATGTCAGTACGTTTCTTCCATCTCTAACGTACTTTTATGACGGAATCACCCAGTTCCTGATCGTATGATGTCGATGTTGTGCCGTATCCAGATTCTCTGGTTGGCGACTCCACCTCAAATCGTTGAGTTTTTCTCTCCAAACTCTTCATTTCACCATCTTCTCGACTATGCTCCATTCGCTGCGATGCTAAAAAATATTTTACATTGTACAACTTTTAGATACAGCCAATCAAATGATACAATTTTTATTTATCAACAGCGATGAGTTATTTCAGGTGATTTTCAAAGAGTTCGTTCCCACAACATTAGAAGCTGTTCAATTAAAATCAACTCTGGTCAACAGCTCAGATCGTGTGCATACGATCAGAAAGATGTTTGACAATTCGTTGCCTTGAAAACGATTATCGTCCTAGCTCGAACATAGAACTACGATGAAGACGAACTCAAGGTAATTTTTCACGTATTTGAAGCTGGGTAAAATTGGTACAAAGTCATCGTTGACGAAATTAGCGCCCCATGAAAATGCCTGAAGAACATCGGATAAGACTATATGAATAGGAAATATGGAAGGTTAGAAGTGTAAAAGAATATGGGGTTGACCAAGTCGTGACGGATTCTGATTTTATATAGTATCGTTGAGCTCAATGAATGCATATCCACATATACAATGACTTGCGGAGGACTAACGATGAGCTTTTTATGCTCCCAGACAAGTCTATTGAAAACTTATCCTGTACGATTAGTGAGCAATGTTTGCATAAGACAAAGGTCGAACCAACGCCTATGTGATTGCGGGGCACCTATACTCACTGCGCTACACTGGAAAATCTATAGTGGTTGAAAATCGCTCACGCTCTTCTTCCGACTTTCATTTTGGAAATCTCTCGGTAAGAAACAGTGCAACTATAATGAGTTAGCTGACATTATGGTTCATAGAAGAATTGGCCTAATAGATGTTGTTGTTGACCCAGTTCTACATAAACGATGCCTCCATCGTTCAAAGTTTTTGATGTTTCCGAATGGAATGGAGTCCAAGAAAGCAGGTCTCACGATTAACATGAATAACTGCTTGTTTTATCTCAGTCTTGAAAAGAATCAATTGTTGAAACTTCTGAATTGGTACACCAAAGGTAACTTATGCAATGCCATCAGCAGCTTGTAAACACACACACATCTCGAAACTTCCTCAAATGAAATGGAAAATTCTCAGAAAGATTTTTTTCTTTCCGACCTGACAAGCTAGTAGCTCAGTATAGACATGCTTGATCAGAATAGGATCAAACCCAAACATCCCAAGAACGCACTCATCGATTGACAATGGCCATCCACAGATCCTTTCAGCATTTTACGTGACATCACTCGTAAGGCGAGGTTTGAAACCAATGGAAAAGCACTTCGACTTTTGATTGCTTAAAAAGGAGACCTGTGATATCGGCGACACCAATCCCATTGTGTTATTGCCTGTCTTCTCCAAGAAATTCGATTGAGCACCCTCAGTCAAAAAGCATTGCGAACTTGCAGAAATTCAAAAAGGATTTGATAGGGTATATATTGTCAATATAATTGAGAATCAGTGCTTCAGTTAAGTGAACATGCACGCAGGGAGTCATCGTGTTTTGTTTCCAATGACTTACGATATGCGCTCGACTTGGTCAGTGCAAAGGTGGTATGGAAGCATTGGGCAGCCAGCGTTACTATCATGAACATGAAGATCTTTACCGAACCATAGAATAACTTCAAAAATGGACTTCATTTACATCACAACGATATGCTGATAGAAGCAGTTGTTCAACAAAGGTCCAGTTATTCTGAAATTTTTACTATCAGTTAAGAGAACGGAAAATTAAAGTAGTATAACACAGAAGCGAAAATCGATGAACAGCAGCTGCACATTTTCAAGAACAATCTAGCTCTTGAACAGAGCGGAAGGAATAATACGGCTGGGGATGACCCTAAGAACACCGAATCGGCACGTGGTGAGATTCAAAAGTGGCAAACGAGAGCCATCTGCGGCTGGCATAATGGCAATCCAAGCAGAAAACACGAGAACCAGGGACAGCATTCGAGGTGTTAAACGCTCAGTGAGGTAAGACGATACAGGTGATTGGTGAGACTTATAAGTCTTTGAAAAAGTTTGGGGAAAAGAAAACGGTATAAAAAATCAACAAAATACCATAAGGAACATTACTAACATGTATAAAATGTACAAAAAAACACAAAATTTCTCTTATTCAACCATTTTTATCGGTAGTAATAAAGGATAAAGGATAAAGCTCTCGGCGTTGATCAATCCCTGAGGGATGCGCCATGCATTCGACTTCAATTTTTAACTTCGTTTGAGGTGATTGAATGCATATCTGGCCTTTACAATGACTCGCGGTGGCCTCCCGCTGAACCGAGTCAGTGCTGCTTATCCTCCCAGACAAGTCTAAGATCTGTCTGGTAGCAATTTACAGACCTCGGAGGGATGGAAGGTTTGGTGAGCCATAAGCGCGAGATCGTGTGCGACGCAGGGCACCTCTTACAACTGCGCCACATGCGCTCTTTTTATTTTTTTATTTATCGGTAGTATGATGTTATAATATATCCAGTGATGTAGAGTGATGTGCAAAACTTTTGCATCAGTCGGAACTCGAACCCACATTTCATCCTGGCCGGGGCGCGTACTCGAACCGTTGCGCTACCGAAGCATGCTTTGACGCTTCTCTCCCTACACTACATCGCAACTATCTGTCACCAACCATCCATTAATGGTGATCGTGATATCACGATAGAATGAAATATGGGTTCAAGTCCCAAGTGAAGTGTGCACATCACTCTGGACCATGTTTAATAAAATCAATAACAGAGAATATTACCAGTCAATAAACCCAATAATGAAGAGTGGTGTGTAAAAACATTTGCGTCAGCTGGGTTCCGAACCCACATTTCACCCTATCCAGGGATGCGTGCTCGAACCGTTGCACTATCGATGCCCGTTTTGACACCACTCTTCCTACGCGTCGGTAGTGCATCGGTTCAGCACGCGTTCCCGGAAAGAGTGAAATCTGGGTTCAAATCCCAGCTAACCAAATGTTTTTGCACACCACTCTACATTATTGGGTTTATTGTAACACCAGACCACCGCAATAGGCGGTAAATAAAATGAATTCTGAATGATAATTATCTGTCATTACTGGGTACGACATAGATTTACACATGGTTGTGAAAGTTGTACCGAGAGATAAGAACTATTAACAATGGGGAAAAAAGTAACAACATACTTTGTAGCCTTCTTCGTACATCTGGATCGTCCATCTCAGCTAATCGCATAACAGCTCTTATCTGCTCTCTCTCCGCCGGTGACAAATGCGACATATCTACACCAATCAGCTCGTCGTCCATCGTATCTTCATAGGAAACTTCGGAAGATTTTCCTGAAATTTGCATTAAACAGTGTCACGAATATAGTAATGTACAAATAGAGAACTTTGTTCAAGAACGACATCCGTCGACGGTTTTTGTTCCCATGCTGTCGTGAATGAATCGACGGCAGAAACGGCAGGGGACGAGACGAGCCGCGAATCCATTTCATCGGCGAATGAAATTTTTCTATAATACGAATATGACAATATAAAATCTCACTGTTCACCATACAAAAAAAAACATTCAGAGAGTGAATACAACCGATGAAAAAATATAAGAGAAACTAAAAAAGAAAACCTTTTCTCTGCGTCTTTTGACCAAAATGTCCAAAATTACATGCAAAAGTTTACTTATTGCCAAGACCGACTGTCTATTAACCTCGACATACTTCAATATAATTCCTGATTTTCTTCTTTATTTTGTATTATCTTATAAAGCCTATCTTATTATCTTATTTTTTTAATCTTTTCTTTCTGATTTTCTTTCTCTTTTTTCGCCGTTGAATAAAGTTTCATGTAACACCTCGTGTTTTGCTTAGAGAAGAAAATCAGGAATTTACTTATTGCGTCTAATTCTTTGCAACTTTAAGATAAAAGTTTCATAAACATGTGTAGCCACTTAACTTCTAATTACTGAAGACTTTCAGAAATCTTATCACAATGTAAGAGGATGCTACTGCATAGAACCGTGAACGCACATTCTTGCAAACTCATTGCCGAAGCACTGAATTTCAAAAAAAAAACGAACAGACCGTTGTTCCCTATCGACATAGCCATCTTCCGCAATCGGTTTAGGTTGAATCACCAGATCTTTACGTTGTTCTGACTGAGGAGAGATGACAGGCATTAACGGAGTTACTGGAGTTACCGTCTTCATGTTGTCCGCGACCGCAAGGATTTTTTCGTCCCTTCTCATCGGCAGATCTTCACGTTTTTCTTCAATCAAAGGAGCACTGGAAATACTGCATTGCACTATAAGCAGTGAAGTTTGTAAAAGTGCGGTCAATATCAGAGATCGAGGATAGTGCGCAAAGCTTAAATATAAGCGAAAAAATTTGCATTCCACTTGCGATGTTTCTCAACTTATCCAACGTTTTCATGCTCGTACGATAATTTCGCTAACAATTAAGAATAGGCTTTCTAACTAACATTTGTGAAAGTTACATCGCTTTTAAGAATACTTTACGGTGTACTCATCACATCTATAATAAAATGTCGGTTTCAATATACTTCGCTATTGATTCCATTCAAAGCAGTTGTTACGAAATAAACCCGTTTGAGATGATTGTTCCTCTCGTGCACCTCTCCAAGTACACTAATAGACAAATTCCCCCAGCTTGTTGTATTATTCAAAAGCTTGAATCTTGGCGATTTCAGCGTTATGCCTGTTTCCAAAAAAGGTTTTCTCAGTGCGCTGTAGCAGAGAAAATAGTACTACGTTTCACATTCGGCGCATTTTTGCTAGGCTAGGGTCTGTGGAAGGGTTTAAATTAACATTGTGTCAACCGTTTAATAGCATAAATTCTAGCGATTCATAAGCTAAGTTCAATTTCTAGAATAATCTCTATAAAATGACGTAGGGGTAAAAAGAAGATTACGCTTCGTCCCCAAAGTTTTCTTCGTACTATGACTTACATATTGGTCAAAGCATATGAAAATGTACAGAAAATCTTGGAGTATCAGAGACCAGAAATCTGAATTTATTCTTTGAAAGTGGAGGAAAAAACTCTAATTAAGTGGAGGAAATCGCGATCACGCTGCGCGATCAATCAATTGCCATCCATACCGGATTAAATTTGAAAGCAATACGTGCGAATCCACTCATACAGGAGAACATACACGCAACCATATTAGTATTGATATTAACGATAGTGTAATTTAGCTTAGATTTGTTGATACACTAAACAATTCAAGTTTACACTATCGTAACGGCGCGAAGCCCTCGGATTCCACTCGTAGACGGGTGCTTCATGAAGCACATTTTGACTTCACCGCGCCCGCGAAATTGATTTGTCTAAGGATTGGTCTTTCGTTTTCCTCTGTTTAATCTCTTTGAAGTCCTTTTTATCTCGTAAACTCAAGAATACAATGACGATAGGAGATTAGCTCGTCATATGGAAAGTGATTTCTGACTACTTAATCACTGCTAATTTAGCTCGCACTGATATTTTAACGATCCGAATACAGGCCAAATTCTGCGAAGGTCATAGCGTCGCAAATTTGTGCAACTGTCGCTTCTTTGAAAAGGTTGTCAGTTCTCTAGCTATGTAACTTAGTTGCCCCAACCTGCTAGGTTGGACAAAGTCCTTCGATAATTCTGGAAAGCCTGCAACTGGAGTGACCACTTTTGATGACGGCTCACTGGTACCTAGATGAGATTCCTCTGCATCCCTCTTGGCTGCTTCCATTACAGCAAGGATTTTTTCACGCTCACTGGCAGACAACTCTTCCAATCCAGGAAAACCGACGAGTTCACTGCAAATCGATTGAATGCTTAAACACTACATCAGCACAATATGTTAAATGACTTTCGTTCACTATTCTTTTGGATGTCCCAAGACACGAATAGAATAGTCTTTTACACAAACCTCTGTACAGTCATTGATGAGTTAGCTAACCTACTATATCTTTCATCTTCTCACAATGTGAAAAGCTCCGTCATGTTACTCACTTCCTATTAGATATTAACATTAGGTGTTGTATTATATGAAAGGACTGATGTTACTTACACATAATCTAAGTTGTAATAACGCTTACAAACGAGCTAGTCAATTCAGTAATACTTTACTTGCTTACAACTGGTCGTCGCATAATTCAAATTGGAGCCAGTAACGTTTCACTTGTCCGTGTGGCATAAAAGAGTATTTCGAGTCCCGCTCTCTCTAGAGACTATCTAAGAAACACATTTTTCTTGAAGACTCTTCAGAAAAATTCCAACAACCGAGCCGGTCTTGCTGCTGCGCATTTACCATCCCATGGGACTCAGTCGATAACGGATCTTTTCCACTGGTTATCGTTAAGATGTGCCAAATAACTAGTACGTCCAGTATCGCACTCTCGAATACGAATTTAATAAATCTCAGCGACCTTTTGCCTTTCACACATGGGATAGAGTTTCTGATATATGTCAAGCAGGCAGAATAGCGGAATCGAAAAACTAGACACAGGCTTTGGTGTTTTTACGGCCTTCACTAAATCATCGCTGCTCTGAAGCTTTCCAAACTACTCGCTTCGTCCTGCTCAGCTATGAAGGCTAGGCCATCCATCATGTTCGTTCCTTGATCCGATTGAGTATATATATATATATATATATATATATATATATATAAAGGATAAAGCTCTCGGCGTTGATCAATCCCTGAGGAATGCGCCATGCATTCGACTTCAATTTTTAACTTCGTTTGAGGTGATTGAATGCATATCTGGCCTTTACAATGACTCGCGGAGGCCTCCCGCTAAACCGAGTCAGTGCTGCTTATCCTCCCAGACAAGTCTGAGACCTGCCTGGTACCAATTCACCGACCCCGGAGGGATGGATGGCTTGGTGAGCCATGAGCGCGAGATCGAACCACTGACCTCGTGTGCGACGCAGGGCACCTCTAACCGCTGCGCCACATGCGCTCCATATATATATATATATATATATACGTACATACATATATGTACATGTATACACATATATATATGTACATATACATATACATATACATATACACATATATATATGTATATATATATATATATATACATTGGTTGATCAATCCCTTAAATTCTTTTGTATTTCAACATTTTTTTGATTCAGTTGTTGATTACTGCCTGCTTCCCAGAAACAATGAGACTGGCGATCAAAAAAGTCTGTAAGGTCACTTTGAGCCTGTTGAAGTCTTCAAATATCTTCTTTCGCAGATGCTGCTCTAGGGCGTGGCAAAGAAGATAATCCGATAAAGCAATACCAGGGCTATACAGTGGATGTGGTGCCGTGGTTCAGCTCACTTCCTCAAAATGTGGCGAGTCGATTTTTCAATTTGGAGTCGAACGTTATCCTGAAGGAGGGCGACATTAGGTCGTTTTGGACGCTACTTTTGCAAAGCTGTAGTCCTTCCAGAGTTGTTTCCCGTCGATATCAGCATTGATTGTCTGCTTTTTGTCCAACAGATTCCAAAACAGCATGACAGCCCGATCCCATAAAATGAAAACATAATGTTCCTAACATGGAACTTGGGCTTTGATTGAACTGGCGATTCCTTACCACGGGTCACTCATTAAGGGTGGCGCGTGTTGTTCTCGTAGTAGGCCCAAAGACAATCAACCTGGGAATGCCCTGCCTTTGGTCGCAGCAATGACTTTCTCAAATCGTTATGTGTGCACCGAGGTCGTGATCATTCAGTGCATTTGTCCACAGAAACATCACTTTGCGGTAGCCTATTTTATTTAGCGAATGGATCATGGTGAAGGATGGCACTAGGGTGAGATGGGTGAAGCTACTAGAACATTCTCCAATATACCACTGAATAATGATTATAACAAGAGTGTAAAAAATTTTGAGACATTTAGTGCAGCAATGAATTCTT